ACTTAGTTACCTAGGCCCCCTAGCTTTATATAAGCTAGGTTAATAATAAGGCGTACGAATAAAGGGCCTAAAGACCGTCGAATATAAATACTACGGCTAAGGGAAGACTAGGAGACGAATTTCTAGACGGACCCTAATACGGCCGGACTAGCTATATAAGGAAATTTAGGTCGATTAGACCGACGTCTCTAGGGATTAGGAAAGCTTCGTTAAGGTAATATTCTTTATAGACGCTTTTTTAGGGATGGTTTTCCCCTATTTCTTACGGACCTACCTAAGTAAGTATAACTAGTTTGCCCTCCGGGACTTCGTTAATTAGATAAAATCCTACTTTAGCTACGAGGTAAAGAAGATACGGTCTAACGGAGAGTTATTTATAAAGGATATCTTAAATTAGCTTCGAAAAAGGGGCATTTTACCCCTCCTATTAGCACCGAATACCTAGGCCTAGAATAGAGGGGCAGAAAGATTAAGGGGTGCTATAATAGAAAGGGCCCGTACGATAAGACTTACTATAAGGCTTCTATACGACCTTTAGAGGGAAGTCGTTAAGACCGCTTATTACCTTCGGAACCGGACCCTAAGGGACCCTAAGGACCCTAGGGGACTAAACTAAGGAATAGACTAGAAATCCCCCCTCGAGCTCTTTATAAAGAAAAGGGCCTCGCTAGCCTACCTTTATACCTACGGCTATAAGGCATACGCAATAACTATAGATATATAGCTAAAAAGGAAGAAGAAAAGAAAGCTTAATCTAAGAGCCTTTATTAGGTACCTCGTTAATTATAATTCTACGAATATCTTCTAGATCTAGATTCCTCTTCTATAAAAGGTTATTTCGACTAGGGATATAATTTTCGACGAATCTAGCTTCTTTAACGGAAAGAGGGATTAATAGCCCCTCTTACTCTCTTAACGTTAGCTAATTTAGAAGATTTAAATCCCCCCTTCCTAATAGTCTTAAGAAGAGGTCCTAGACAAGGAAATAGAAGAAGAAACCGATATTAAAGTAGTCGAGGATAACGCCGACTTTAAAGAAGAAGAAGAGGAAGCTGCTAGATTAGATAATCTAGACGAAGAAGGAGACTATAGGAAAGCGGTAGAGCTAGAATACGCCTACCTACCTACGCCTCCTCCTACGTAAGAAGAAGATCTAGAAGCAGCTTTTTTAGTTAGTCTTCCCGTCTCGACCCCTAAGGGGGTAGGAAAGGCACCTCTCTCGAAGGAAAAGGCACCTCTCTTAAAAGATTACCCGGCTGCCTTTTTATCCCTGCTTCGAGAAGCAAAGGAAGGTATAGGGCCCGATATAAAAGAAGACTAGTTTCTCCTTTATTTCGATCGTTTTTCCGACTTCTATCTAACGCTAATAGAAGACGGTTCCTATAGAGCGTTTATAGCAGGCTAGCTATTTAAGCTAATATTAGCAAGGAAGGTATATAAAAGAGACCTCCCGGACCTACTAGTAAACTAGAAGCAGCTAGAAAAACACCCCTTTAAAGACTAGTTTTTCTAGGCCTAGAAAGACCACCTAGCCTTATATAAAGAAATAGGGTCTTTTAAAGAGGTCCTTAAGGAAAAGGCAAGAGGAAAATAGGTCCTTAGCTATAAGTAGGTCTTTATCTATAAGACTAATAAATACGGCTTCCTTTAAAAGTACAAAGCCCGGCTAGTTATCTATAGGAATTAATAGGAAAAAGGGGATCTACCTACTAAGGCAACCACCCTAGTAGGGATGTCTTTTCGGACCCTTATAGCTATAGTAGTAGAATTCGACCTCGAACTTAATTAGATAGATATAGTTAACGCCTTTATTAACTATCTACTCGAGGAAGAAGAAGAAGTTATCTATATACGCCTTCTACTAGGCTTCTAATAGCTAGGAAAGGTTCTATAGCTTAGGAAAGCTCTATACGGACTACGAAGATTACCCCTTCTTTAGCAATAGTATTTAATAGGTTCCCTCGAAGCCCTAGGCTTTACGAAAGTCCCTTAGGAACCGTATATAATATAGAAGGGTAAAATCACGGTCTTCTTCTACGTCGACGATATTATCTAGGCGTACCCGAAAGAGGAAGAAGCTACTATAAGGGAGGCTATACGAGGCCTATAATAAAGGTATAAGATAACTAGGCTAGGGGAGCTAAAGTAGTTCCTAGGGATACGAATCCTTCGGAATAGGTCCTAACGGACTATCTAGCTTACCTAGGACGCCTATATCGATAAGGTCGCTTATAAATTCCTCCCTAAATCCCTCGATAAGAAGCTTCCCTCTATGCCTATAATAGATAAAGAGCTTTTACTTAATCCGTCCTTTTAAGCTAGGGAGTAAGAGAAACACTAATATTAATAGAAGGTAGGCTCCCTGCTTTTTTTAGCTATTTCTACTAGACCGGATATCTCTTTTACGGTCTCCTAGCTAGCTAGGCATAACTAGAATCCTAGCCCTAGGCTTTAAGAAGTAGCAGACAAAGCTATCCTTTATCTTTATTTAACGAGATTATATAGTCTGCGCCTAGGAGGGCAGGGAAGGAAATAAGCTACCGAAATCTTCCTTTATTCGAGCGATTCGTCCTTTACGGATAATTCCTTAGATAGAAAGAGCTTATAGGGGTATATTATATCCCTTTTTAGAGGAACTATTGCTTAGAAAGCTTCGAAGTAGGCTACTATTATAACTTCTAGTACTAAGGTAGAGCTACTAGCTCTTTTAGAAGCGATAAAAGAAGCGATTTTCCTTAGCCGGCTACTAATATCTCTATAACTATAAATCCCGACCCCGTTAGCTATAGAATACGATAATATATAGACTATACGAATTCTTATAGAAAATAGTAAGTTATCGACCTAGCTACGGTATATTAATATCTACTAGCATTAGTTACGCTAAGAGGTCTAAAGGGGACTTATTTCCGTCCGTTAGGTTCTAATAGCATCGATAAAAGCCGACGGTCTTACGAAGCCCCTACTAAAGCAGAAGCTAGCTGTCTTTTTATAGTAAATTAGGCTAGAAGACGTTCGAGAAAAGCTGTCCTTAGAAGCCCGCCTTAAGAGTCTACGAGAGGAGCTAATAGCCCGTACGAGAAGGTAACGTCTATAGCCGAAGAAGAAGGAAGAGGTTTTTCCCTTTAGAGGGCCCCCTATTTTAATTGGGTTTTTCCCTTTAAAGAAGGCCCCCTTTCTTATAGGACTTTCCCCTCTTTAGGCCCCTTTTCCTTAAGTAGGTCTAAAAGAGCCTAGGGACCCGAAAGGGCCCCTATATTCCTCGAGTAAAGGGAGAAGTGCAGAGCTAAGAACCTCCTCTATACGCTCACTAGCCCGAAGCCGTATTAGCTATGCCCTTACTATAAGGGCAGGCTATAGCTAAGGGGGTATGTCGCGAAGCGTGGCTTGATTTCGCAGTTCTCGGAGATATCCCTTAGTAAGAGGGACCAAGGAAACTGAAAAACACCCGGTGTGGAAAAAGGAAGAAGGAGCTAAAAAGAGGTGCAGAAAGGAGGGTAGGGGCATAAGTGGCGATGGCTTCCTATAGAGGTGGCGAGAGATAAGACGGATGTGCCGGCAACGGCTAGAAAGGAGGGGAAAAACCGGCAAAAAGCTCGGTAGTTAAAGGGACATTAGTAGCTTCTTTAAGCAGGATCTTCTTTGTTAATTGAGATGCTAGACGGGTATAAAGAGGGGCGTTGGATAGAGGAAAGAAGGAGGATCAAGGCAATATAACGATTACTCCCCTGCCTTTATTGCTGCTCCTATAAGAATCAAATCCCTCTGCCCTGCCTGTCTGACCCCTTACTTCTAATTTCACCTTCGTGCATTTTATATGCACTTCTCGTATCTCTCCTCGCGAGAATAGTAGGAAATTAAAATAGTAGGGAAGTAATAGCGCTGCTTCTTAACCGGCGAGGAGACTAAATTACTATTATAAATAAGGTAGTTAAGGCTATAGTAGGAAATTAAAATAGTAGGAAAGTAATAGCGCTACTTTTTAACCGGTAAGGAGACTAAATTACTATTATAGATAAGGTAGTTAAGGCTATAGCGGGAAATTCTAGGAATAGTAAGGAAGTAATAGCGCTCCTTCTTAACTAGCGGGGAGACTAGATTACTATTATAGACGAGGTAGTTAAGGCTATAGTAGGAAATAAAGATAAAGGCAAGGAAGTAATAGCGCTTATTCTAGACTAGCGAGGAGACTAGATTACTATTATAGACGAGGTAGCGGAGGCCGCGGTAATATATAGTTAGCACGGAGTTCTTAACCTTTTATCTTAGAATAGTCTCGTCTCTATTTAAGAGGAATAGCGTTATATTATAAACTTTTATAACGCCGTAATAGTAGGTAATATTTCCCGTATTAAGCAGCTCCTCTATATAGGAACTATGCTAGATATAAGAAATATTAGGGCATAAACCCCTTTATAGATTACGGCAAGGAATAGACATAATACGGTCGTTAATATTCTAGTATAAAGGATAGATATAGACGTTAACTTAAGGTTAATTACTAGGAGATTACCTCTATTCTAGCTATCTTAGTATAGTATAGAACGAATTATAACTATCCTAATAGACGCTAGTGCGGATCCGCACCTCGTAGATAAGAATAGAGATATAGCAGTTACTATAGTAAGACGGAAAGGGCATAAGAAAGTCGCTAAGATACTTAAACGGTCTAGAGAGCTAGCTTAAATTCGATAGAAGAAGTACTAGTAACTATCGGAGAGACCGATACGAAAAATGCATAGTGTAGGGGTTATAATGTAAGTGTATTATAAAGTGTGTCGATGTGTGTCTGTGTCGCGGGCTATACCTAGTATAGTGGACTACGGTGAAGGAAATAGATAATAAGCATAAAAGGGTTTCCTGCCTTGATGCACGGGGGGTCGACGGACCAGAGCCTGTCCACGTCGAAGATGAGATTCTCTCCCGATTCACATGCCATGACACGGTGAAAGGAGCTCCAGCCGAGGTTTTGATGGGCTATCAGCCGCGGTCTAAGGGACATGTCAAGGGACAACTCGAAACCTTTAGCACTCGCGCGAGAGACCGAGTCCGAGGCCTCGGAGAACTTCATAAGCGTACGGCGCTCCTTATCACGAGGGCCCAAGAGCGCCAGGCGCGATACTACAATAAGGGACGGGAACCAATGTCCTTCTAAGAGGGCGATTGGGTTCTAATCTCCATAAAAACCCTTCCGCTGCGGCGTCCGACTAAGAAGTTAATAGAGAAATATGTCGGGCCCTACCAGATTGAGCAAATCGTCGGAGGGCACAGGCTAGCCTATCGTCTTCGCCTACCATCGACCGTTAAGATCCATAATGTCCTGCCTATCAGCAGTTTGGAACCATACCGCGGCCGGGGTCAGCAGCTAGTTGAGCCTGAGGATCACCCGTTCATGATAGAATCTACGTACGACGTGGAACAAATCCTCGATCATTGCGGACCGAGAAGTCGCCGAAGATATCTAGTGAAGTGGAAAGGCCACGAAGACGAAGAGAACTCCTGGGTGTCCCGAAGTGGCTTCGTCGACAAGGAGTTCCTGGTAGACTACGATCGATCTGTCGGCAAGTGAGCTTAGGAGTTCGGGACGAACTCCTCGGAAGGGAGGGCAACCTGTCACGCGCTTAGAAAAGGAATACCTCCGAGATATCTCGGAGTAGGCCGTTAGGAAACGGAGGATGCTATAATATAAGAAGGGTGCCTATTCTCGGGATTTTATGGGATCTTCAGAGATCAATGAATTGAATGATTGACCCCCCGTTCTTCACTCTCTGTTTAGTTGTGTGTGCGCCTAACAGGTGGATCAAGCCAGAGAACACGGTGAATGTTAATGAAGGGGGGATTATATCGGGCTTTGGTATGCAATTGACTCTCTATAGGCGATATAAGCTAATTCGGTCTCTTTGCTAGGTCTAGATAGTCTGGTGGTTGGCAGTTCGGACCCCAAACGGAAGACTCTTCTCAAGGGACCCCAGTCCCGAAGTTAGACTACTTTTATAGAGGCTATCACCGCCGACGGGCGCGCCTTAACTCTAGGCATCATATTTAAGGGTAAAGACCTTTAGGTATAGTGGTTTAAAGAGGAGTTTCGAAGATTTACGGACTAGCACTATATAACTTTACTAAATAGATAGACGGACAATCATATTGCCGTTGAATGGCTTAAGGAAGTCTATTTGCCTTAGACGCGACCTGACGACGACTCTAAGGCCAGGCTTATTATTCTAGATAGACATAGGAGTTATGCAACGGTTCGTCCTTTGTTTTTATGGCAATAACGCCCTGCTAATTTGACGATAGAATGAGTAGATGGCTGCGTGCTTTCTGAACAATGTCTACTATTGTTATCTCCCATCTCACTATTCTTATGGCCTCTAGCTATTAGACAACGGTGTTTTCAATGCTATAAAGACAGCCTACCGAAAGGAGCTTATTAGACTGGCTTCTTAGACGGATTCTACGCCTATTAATAAGGTTAACTTTTATACGTGCGTATGCCATAGCACGTTAAACGGGAATAACAACAAGAAACATCTTATCCGGTTAGAGAACTACTAGAAATTGGCCAATCTCGCGTTCTAAGGCGTTGGGGCATCCTGAGATCTAAGAAGATAAAGTTACGGAATCCCCGGAATATAGGCCGTTTTTAGACTCTAACGACACCCCGAAATCTAGCCGCTATATTCGTGATCTTGGCAAGAACAGAACACCTACGACTCGGAGGCGATATGCCAAGATAGCGAAAGGCTAGGAAACTCAAGAACAGACACTAGCAGAACATGGTAGTAAAATTGCTAGGCTAGAGGAGGAAGTAGATAGGCTAAAGAGAGGAAGAAAGAGGAGGGCCATCCCTAACCCAAATAGACGCTTTATGTGTCTCGCCGAAGCTTTGGCGGCCGGTGAGATTGTCCCCGAAATTGGGAGTCCAAAGAAAGCCGTTGTGGTGGATCTCGGAGGAGGTGGAGTCGGAGACGGAGACAGCTCCGGGGATTGAGGTCAAGGTATCTGGGCCTCCCCAGCGCACCACGCGACTGGGTCGCGTCATAAAAAGACCACGAACCAATTAGCGCGTTCAATTCTCTTTTAAATGATGTAGCTTTTATATTTTTATCTCTATAGTTTGCTGAAATATAAGCAGTTCAAAAATCGTATTTTTGGTGAGGTTTGTCTCATTTGGCGGAGCAAAAGGGGGGGTAAGGATGGGTAGTTCACTACCGTAAGCAATGTGTGAAGCGGCATTTGATGAAAAGTCACCAAATCCATCTGTCAGCGTCGTTGATTAAATCGCTGCCCAGCGTTTCTTAATGACTGATGTGGTTGCGTCGACCAAGTTCCATGCAGTCTGGGGTCCAGGGCCTGTAGCGAGATGCAAGCCGTCGCGAACGCCAGTTTTAACTCTTGTCATGTCCTTCAAGTCCGCCTCTTCGTCAACCACAGCTCCGGCTTCGGCGAGCACCTCGTGTGTCTTCCATGTGTAAAAGCTGAACTGCGGTTCCAACTTCCCCTGCGCATGCACCATGGGCTCTAGCGCCGGGAGTGCAGCTACTTCCACGCCTTTGACCAACTTCTCGCGCTTCCCATCAATATCAATGTCTAAACATGCCAAGAGCGTGGGACCGTGGCAAAGTGCTATAATGGGGAGCCGATGTTCAACTGCGCGACGCATCATTTGGGCGATGTTGGGTGACGCTTGAATATTAGCGTGCGCAGAATCGGTGACACTCTTCGGGGAGGTGACTGCCACATCCTCATTGAAACCAAGTCCGCCTGCTAGGTAAACGGCTCCAAATTTGCTCGCATCAAATTGATCGGCCCCGACTGCGTTCCCAAGCAAATTGTCAAGGCGGTCTTTGGGCAAGCGGAGAGGATCCAAGCGAAGGGGGGCTCCAAGACCAACGCCTGGAAGACCTAAGGCAACCGCAACAGCCTCTGTCGGTGGCTCACGGACTAGCATGCTATCACGCTGAATTGCGACCGGCCGTCCAAAAGGGGTAAAGACGCGCACCGTGTAACCTTTGTCGAGAACTCCGAGCGCCCAGTCGACAAGCTCCTGCCACTGTGCGCCGTGCGAGCTTGCAATAACCGCAATATTTTTTTGCCTTGGTGTTTCGAGTTCGACCGTCACCTTAGGTAGACAGCGCTCTATCTCCCTTAGAGCCTCATCGAAGTCCACGTCAGAGGCCTTCGACCAAGCCTTAACACGGAGGCGTCGCTCATAGGAATCGACGTTCTTGTTGCCAGGATATTTGCGGGCGGGCGAGTCCCACAAGCCAATGCGTGGAAGACAGCTATAATACTCTATCCGATCATGTAGAGTCAAAGACCTGTTCTTCGCTTTTTTAAGAAGTTGTCCGATATAAGCGACCTCGTTTTGGATTTCAGATTTGTTTAAAATGCCCAGCAACTCGCTGAGAATAGCAGGATCGATTCGAAGGGGGGCAAACTCTTGGTATACATCAAAGTTACGGAGGTGGTGTTCCGGGTCAACGTAGTAGCGATTTACGTAGGCCGTGCGAACCTGACGCAACTCCTTAGACGACAAACCACCAACTAGCTTCTCAAGAGTATCAATTTTGGACCTATCTTTCGGATCCTGGGTTCGCCCGATGGTAATCTCGTGCAGAGCCTCGATATTGATGGGAACATTCGACATCCTATAGAATGTTTGTTAAGAAGATAATGGGCAAAGTAGAACGTTAAGTGAAAGCAAAATTGAGGTAAAACAGGTTTAGATGTTTAAAAACTTCTTGTAAAATATACTGTTAGACGACAACTATTAGTACTCGTAGACGTGTGTTTTAGTCTAGCTGCTGAAAAAGGACGTTTCTTACTACCTATTATAAGTGCGCCTACTGCTTAGAAATACGTGATTTATCAATAAGGTTAACATGCAATTTGACTCTGCACAGGCCGCTGCAGCGGGCCCTTCCAGTTTAGCTCTCTGCACAGGCCCCTACTGCGGGTCCTTCTAATTTAGCTCTGCAGCCAGATTTTGACACTATCTAGTCAGCAAACCGTTCTTGTCACGCGCCAAGGCACAAAAAGGGGTGCGCTGACGAGGGCAGCGGTGTGAGAAGCAGAAAAGGGGCCACGCACCAAGGAGTGCGGCCACAGACGCTGGGAACGGTCGCTGAAAGGGGTAAGACGCCGAGGAAGTCTCATTACGGAAGCGGGCAACAGGCGCCCACCGGATTTGTATGTTAGATAGAAGCTTTCGTCGCAGCCGGTACATAAGGTCCGGGCTAGCCTCTTCCTTCACAGGGGGGGCAGAGCAATTTTTAATCCACTTTTGAGACCCTATGCATTAAGGCCGCGCTGTGCGACAGCTCTGACTAACTATTTTAACTTTAAAATGGAGAAGTGTGGGTGGTCAAGGCGCAGCGCCGATACTGCATAAGTAGGTGCGGCTACTTGTCGGAACTGACGGGTAGAAACACATGTCGGATCACGTGCATCATCACGTGCAGACACCGGGCAAATCCGGCAGCCAATTTCCCCCTTAGGGACGAGGCCTCCTTGGAGGCCTCAAGAAAAAAAAGAACACACAATCATCACAATCAATACAACCTCTTTTGCAGCTGCACACAAGCTGCTGCATTAAACCTTGATCCATCGTGCATACCTACCTATTTCCTCATTAGGCCCGAGCCGCAGAACCACCGTTCTGACACTACTAAACGCCGTGAGGAATGAAAACTGGAGTTAGGCGGGGGTTGCAGGGCAGCAGACATCAACGCGCCCGCTAGGGCCGGAAATGCCGTGCCTAGCGCTACCACCCACTATGTTCGCCCCCTAAGCTACCCCTAAGGCGGCCCGCCGAGGGCCCCGCCTGTCGGAAAAACGCGGTTGTCAGATATATGTGTCAATGGCAGGGCACCTGTTGGAGCGCGTTCCACTTTTGCCTGCATGGCGCAATGGTCTTCGCAACAGTTATGAGCCCGGGAGGGGATGGCACACCACCCCTGCAACTTCCGGTGACTGCGCGTTGCGGGGTAATACCCGTAGATAGCCGTGTACCCCTCCTTCTCTTGGATTTCCCTAGGTTATGGGCGCGGTGCTTAGTGTTCGACTCCCGGGTCTTGGGCTACTAAGGTCCAGGAATCCCGGCGGAGCCGCGATCCCTGAGAGGGTGTGTCGGAAAAACGCGGTTGTCAGATATATGTGTCAATGGCAGCGCACCTGTCGGAGCGCGTTCCACTTTGCCTGCGTGGCGCAATGGTCTTCGCGACACCGCCAACGGGTAAAATGTGAAATAAACGGACTCCATGGTTTAGTATTTAAATATATATTATTGTGGGAATTGTACCCATTAAATTCTATGCATCTACCTTTTACCTCAGCAGAGCTCAGGCCATCCTGGTCGTGACTACGCCACCGGAGCGGACTATACCTAATCGGTAAGTCACATGCGATCCTCGACCAAATAGCTTACCTCAGCAAGCTCAGGCCATTAGTGTCATGCCTTAGGCATCGAACCAGGCTATACCTAATCGGTACGGTCCTCGACCAAATGGCCTGAGGATTCTGTCATGGATTTTTGGCCTGAGTCTATCGAGAAGAAGGTCCGAACGAGTTGAGGTCTCTAGGTCTCTCTAGGTAATACAGCTTGAAACCAGGTAAGAAGGGAAGTCTGCAGACTGTTCTTTCTTCTTCCTAGACCACTGAGGGGTCCGGAGGATCTCCTATTCGAACGGGGACCTTTTAAGGAGTCCGGCATAACTAAAATACTGCGCCACACCTTGCACTTTAGTCTTTAGGGCTATAGTGCAAGGCGTACAATCAGCCGAAGGCTGCGAGTCTAGCTACTAGTTAAGCAGTCACCGAACAATTAGTTTAATCCGGTCTAAAAGTCACGGCAGGATAGATCCGTCACGATTATCTCCGGTAATGCTCTACGACTTATAAACTATAATAGTATAGCATACGATTAGGGGAAACTATATACGAGGGTAGAGCGTAGGCCCGACGAGGAAGTCCTTATCTACCGGCCGAATTTAGATAATCTTCCTACTATTTACGGTAGTTAGGAATACCGGCCCCAGGTACTTATTAAACTCTATTATAATTACATAGGGAGGGTCTTAAATAGGGTTAGCTCTAGGCGCCTAGGCGATATTATATACTATAACGTTACTACGTGCGTCGTTATAGAGGCCGACTAGCTACTAAAGGTTAGACGTTAGTATTAAACGGGCGCTAATATATACGGGAATCTATTTCGTAAGGTTGCCTGCCTTATCGTTAGGAGCAATAGTAGCGCTAGAGCTAACGATCTTAGCTATTACCTAGGATAATAGGCCGGCCTAGGCGGTCGGTAGTAGTTATATTTATTTACCCTATCTTTTATAGCGTATACTTATAGGGAATTAACGAACTTAGTAAGCTCCTAATTATCTAGCTTCGCCTATATATAGCTAGAGAGGAGCTTTTAGGACTCCTAGGATAGATAGTATAGTCGCCTTAGTAGATACCTTCTTTAGTAGCCTCCTATTACGACTACGGTTAGCGGGCCGTAGGAGAGCCGGCCACGTTTACGTGACAAGGCGGCTCGGAATAATAGTTAGGACGAGAAGTTACTTAGGCTTAGCTTACCTAGAGCGTACGTAAGCTAAGTAAGCCTTATATAGATAGATCACTACTTAGGAGCATAGCTTACGAGTAAGCTATAGTAAGCTACGAAGGGGATCACGGCTAGGACCGTGATCTAAGGACAGATAGCTTTTAATATAGATCTTTATTATAATTCTATCTCTAATTTTAATTACCTAGTTATAGTCTATAGTCTACGACCTCCGACTTATTACTAACGTAATATACTTATTATTGCTTAGACTACGCCCTATTATATCTACTAATATAAACCCCTCGATAGGTTTATCCCTTAGGAATAATACCGGTCGTTATATATTAAAAGCTCTTATTTAGTATAATACCGCGTTACTCTAAGTAATATTATAACTATTAATATACCTATATAGTAAGCTAGATTAACTAACTCTAGAGCTACTATATCGCCTTAAGATATAATATATAAGATTATTACCCTTTAATATAAGGTATAGTTACTTAAGAATAAAGGAGGTAACGGATAAGTTAAGGACCTTAGAGAAGTAGTTAAACTAAAATAGCTAGGACTATTCGATAGTACTTATAGCACGCTTCGAGACTTTCTTACCTAACTTAAGGCCTACTACCGGTTTTACCCTACTAAACTCTTAGACCTAGTCGAAAAGGTACTCTACGTAGGAAATTATTTATTTAGAACGGTACTCGCTTAGTTTAGACCTATTATAAGGGATTTTCTTAATAACTAACTAGCGCGACGAGATAACGAGATAGATAAAGTCTTTATTAGTTTCTAAGGGTTCGAAGAAGCTATTATAAAGGTATTTAAAATAACTAATAAAGAATAAGAAGCTAAATAGAAACTTCGAGAACTCTAATAAAGGATCTTAGTATCGGATTATACTATAAAGTTCTATTAAGTTACCTTAAAGCTTAATTAAGACGATAAACCTCTTATATTACGATTCTACGATAGGCTTAAAGAAGAAGTTAAGGACGAGCTCTATAAGGAAAATCGACATAATAACCTCTTAGACTATATTACTATAGTAGTATAAATTAATAATAGATAGTACGCGCGACGCTAAGAAAAGAAGTAAGGAAGAGGAAACTAAAACCCTTCTTATAAGAATAACTTTAACTAACGCGCTAACTATAAAAAGAAACGTAAAACTCTTATTACCTACGCCTATATAACTAACCTAGGTAAGATAGATCTAAATATAATATAGAAAAGTAAAGGAAAGTATTTTAACTATAGGAAACTTAGATATTACTTTAAAGAATATAGATAACCTTATAAGGAGAAGAAAACCTACTAAGTACTAGCCCTAGAAAGTAAGAAATACCTAAACGCTACTAATAGATAGGAACTAAAGTATAAACTCCTTAGTTAGACTATATACTATAACGACGAATATATAGTATACTTAAGCGATAAGAACGGTACTAGATAGTTCTTAAAGCTATTAAAGAAGACCCTTATAATAATATAATAAAGGGGTCTTAAAATATAGAAATAAGTTAAATTTATAGAACTAGAATACCCCTATCTTAAAGGAGTCTCTTAAGACTAGATTAGGAAGAATAGTAAACGATTCTAAGAAGATATACGAAATAAAAATCGATAATAACGATAGGTAGTCTATAAATAATATAATAAAAAAGATATAGATATAGCCCTTATACTTACGAAACTTAGATAATAACCTAAGGAGGAATAATAAAGTATCGACGATATAAGCTCTAAAGAATAAGAAATACCTAGAGAAATAGAAGACGAGAACGAACTTATATTACTACCCCTACTACTAAGGGAAAATACTATAATTAAAGAATACGCTTTATACTTTAAAGAATTTAAAGAAATACTTAAAATTAAAACCTAATAAATACCTTAAATTCTTATAGAAAACTAATAAGCTATACTAATTCGATATTAACTAGCACTATATAAAGGAGACTACGCTATAGCTATTACTATAGTTAATACCTTTATAGCTCTATAATAAGAATAGTAACTATAAAGAGAATTTAAAGATAATCTATAAATACTACTTACTTATAAGTACTATAAGTATATTTTAT